CTGTGTAGCGAGCCCACCCGCCGCCAGTGTCCAGCGACCTCAGTGTGGATAGCCAAGAGTGTCTCAATTTTTCAGATTTCCAGAGAGGGGAGGAAAAAAAGTAACCCAAATTTGCCAAATTTGGAAAAGGAATTCAGAAAGCTTTGCACTCCACGTGTTATTTTAGCACTTGGGGCACAGAACACTAAATGGCAGCCTGACTGGGGCCAGGTGCTGGTCTGAGAGTGCCAGTCATCCTGTCTTTTCTGTAAGCCCAAATTTGGGAATTTGGCTGGATTGCCGGTCCTCCTTATATCCAGCTTTAGCTAACAAACTGCCTAAACACAGTGAATCAGTAGGACTCGATCACTACATCCTTCAGGATTACAGCAGCTGCTCTAAGCTCCACCAAGAGAAGACCTCAGCTCTGGACTATGAGATGCATTAGCTCTAGGTACCTGTAGAGCAGGGAAGCGGTTGAATCACCATCCCTGGAGGTATTTAAAAGATGTGTAGATGTGGTGCTTAGGGACATGGCTTAGTGGTGGACTTGGCAGTGCTGGGTTAACAGTTGAACTCAATGATCTTAAGGGTCTTTTCCAACCTAAACGATTGTATGTTCCCAGCCTGCCATTCCCATAGCATGACCACAGATACCTTTTCTTTACAGACTAACTAACCTGGGCTAGGCATGGGGTTACCCAGTCTGGCCCAAGCCTCCCACAGCACTTAACTGTGGGAGTAATATCACCAAAGGATAGTAGCAAACGAGCAGTCAGTCACGCTTTGGAGGAGAGATTGACGTTTCAGACAAGTGTTGCCTGAAGCAGTGCCGCAGTGGGTCCTGTAATGGCTGACGCATCCCCCTGAGCACTGAGCCTCACTGGGGGACACACTTCGCTTCTGGTCAGAGCATCACCTGGGGACATGCCATAGCATTGCAGAGCTGTGCGATACAAGCCTACCTTCAAATGACTGAAGGCAGGAGAAGATTGCATACATTTCTATCAGTGGGTGAGCTAGGGTGGTTTGCCATGTGGATATCCTTCCACTGATAGCACAGGGATTGGTGAAGATGGGAGACAGAAGGGAGACAAATATAGTTCAAACTCTGCATTCTATGTTTTGTTTAGAGAACTTTAATAACTCTGGCTATGCATGTGCATTGTGTCCACACCCCAAAAAAATCCCAGAGATGCTGCAAACCCCAATAGAAACTGCTGTCTGCTGGATCTTAGTTGATTCCAGAAAGTCAGACATGAAAATTACTTGGCCTAAATAGATGAACCTGTCACAGGAGCTGAGATTGCAACTCAGGGAAAACCCTGAAAGTGAAACTGAAATCAAAGCCAGAAGCTGTATCCTCCTGGTTTCTTTTCCTCACTTTGCCACTAACCAGTGTTAGCACCTTGGGGAGGTGCTTGTCTTCTCTGTTTCTCCACCTGCAAGGCAGTGTTTAGCAATTTATCTCCTCTAAAGCTTTCTGTGGAGGTGATTATATTAATGTGTAGAGAATTTAGTCTTTTAAAAAACTTCACTGTGGCAAATTTTTAAAGATATTGAATAGGTTTTTTGCCTACCCTGCTTCCCTTGGCCTTTTGAAAGATACATTCTCAGTATCATTGAATACAGGTAGGTTTCCCGTCCTCCGTATTGCCCTTTCTCTAAGCACACATCTTTCTGATGCTGTTTCAGGCTGGTCTTACTACCTTCTTACGAGGACTGAGGAAAAGTACTCCCTTGAGCAAAGGCATGTCAGCTCCCTGTGGAATGTCATCCTAAGACCAAAGGGACAGGAAATCAGGCAGGAGCTGAGGCTGGAGATGAAGGCCCTTTCTGAAAAATAAAAAAGCCTTTCAGTGCTAAACCACATTAAATCAATTGCAAAGATGAAGTCACCAGTAAATTTGTTATTTCAGGTATATTTCCCCTTTGTAATGAAAACCCGGGGGAAAATCCAAACATTAAATCTGTTAACACAGTCTTGTCCACTGGAGGCTAAGGATAACTCCTTAGCAGTTGCACAAACTGAACTAGCAGTTTTCTTTCTTTCATTGCAAGTGTAACACAATGTACATTTCTACAAAAACAAACTACTCAGACATCTAAATCTATTTATTCCCTGAATTAAATTTAATAGATGAGGTTACATCTGTATACGCTACTGAGTGTTCCAAGAAAGATGCAGAAGCTATCTTGAGGATACCTCTGATTGCCATGTTAATGGCTCATTCACAATGCTCATTAGCCCCCTGTTGCTTTCATTTAGCATAATGAGCCACACTGAAATGTATTTATTTTTTGATTAAAGCAAATGGTGCTGACAGCAGACATGGCCAGGGGGAGGGAGGCACTTTATCTTGGGGAAACCTGCTGTAGAGCAAAACAATATCCAAGTCCTGAGTGCACAGGGCCTTAGTGGCCCTGACCAGCCTCACCCAGCTCTTACTGCTCTCCCTCAGGACAAGGAAGCCAGGAGCTGAGGGTGACGACAACACAAGCCAGGCAAAGACCTCACCAACAGAGCGCAGTCTGACGACACCAGAGAAAAGCAAGCAGAGCGGTGGCAGCAACAGGTCCGGTGGTCCAGTAACCATCAGGCAAAGACAAGGTAACAAGCTATTTCCAAGGTCAATCCAGCAAACCCAAACAGCAATTCAGGAGCAGAACTAGCAGCAAGGACACCTACAACTCACCCCTGTTCTGTCCTCCCAGCATAAGACAGGCATGGACCTGTTGGAGCAGGTCCAGAGGAGGGCTGTGAAGGTGCTCAGGGGGCTGGAGCACTTCCCCTATGAGGACAGGCTGAGAGAGCTGGGGTTGTTTAGCCTAAAGAAGAGAAGGCTCTAGAGAGACCTCACAGCAGCCTCCTGGTACTTAAAGGGGGCCTACAAGAGAAATGGGGAAGGACTCTTCATCAAGGAGCGTAGTGACAGGACAAGAGGTAATAGTTTTAAATTGCAAGAAGGTAGATGTAGATTTAGATTAAATATTAGGAAGTAATTATTTACTATGAGGGTGGTGAGACACTGGAACAGGTTGCCCAGAAAAGTGGGTGTCCCATCCCTGGAAGTGTCCGAGGCCAAGCTGGATGGGGCTTTGAGCAACCTGGTCTAGTAGAAGGTGTCCTTGCCCATGGCAGGGAATTGGAACCACATGATCTTTAAGGTCCCTTCCAACCTAAACCATTCTATGATTCTACTTAAAGCCTGAGCTTAAATGAAGTCCCCATCAGAGGGTGTGGGTGGAAGCCCCAGCTGAGGCTGGTCAGGGCACTTAAGACCTATTAGTGCAGTCAAGGCCCTGACAACCGATGCATAAGAAGTCAGATTTTGGGATGAAAAGAAGGATGCTAAATTTTTCAGGTGTGTCAGAGATGAGGGTCAGCACATGCATAAATCTTTGTGAGAAATGGTAAGGACAGGATAATGAAATGATTGTAATTTTTTTTTTTTAATGAGGAGGATAGAATTAAATATATTGGAGTGTTTTCCTGTTTATATCATTATTTTATATTAGGTTAATTACAGAAGTTTAGGAAATTACTGCTCATTTGTAACTAAAGCACTATAACTCACCACATGCATGCTCTTACTCTGCCAAAATTGAAAAATAAACTTACCGTCATGATGCGATAAGTCCACACATTCATTCTGCAGTTAGAACAGGTTTACAGTGGTTGCCATTGTACCTCAGCTGTGACCTTGCTTTCAGCCATCCACTCATAACTTAAAGTTCCTATAAAGTAAGGCACTCTCAAGAAAATGTTCCATGTATGAGCAGCAACTTGTTCATACTCTCATGGTTTGCTCCCTCAAATTTCAGAAGAGTAAAATGTGTATTTAGAAAAATGAAGACACTTTGAATAATACTAGTCTTCCTAACCCTCAAGTGAGAGAGAAACTAGAGTAGAGTCTGCATAGTACTGTAAGTTAAATTCCTATATCTAGGTTTGCTCTGACTATTAAGGTTTGCATATAGAAAAACTTCTTATTCTTCCAGTCAATGGGTGCCTATGTGGTGGTATTTTCTAAACTCTGCCTAGTTATTCTTGTCAGTGCGGTAGGGTATTCACAAGCTAAATTAAACATTGAGCATTTTAGGATAATGACATGTTAGGTAACAACAAACCCATGCAGCTCAAAAAACCCGCTAGATTCACTGACCTCTTCTTACTCTGAAGAAGAGGTTTGGGCTAATTTCTGTGTGCTCAAAGGGAGGAAAGCATACTGCTGCTCTTCCAAAGTGCAGAAGGCCTGATTGCATAAGAGTACT